ATGGAGAAAAATAAAGCGGCTTTACTTGGTGGTACTGTACTGCTGGTCTCGCCATCTCCCTTTAAATAAATAAAAATGGAGATACCGGAGATTCGGAGTTCTCCTAGTGTTGATTACTCATGTGGAAACATCACAAGCAAAGCGGGCTCCGCAAAAATCTTGGATCCGCAGAAAAGTCGGGGGTTTGTCCGTGTCGGATCTGGGCCAACAGCGAGCCTCTTCCCTTTTCCAGCGCTGGTCTCGAATCGAGTGTTCCGCTCTCCGTTCCGGATTACAGCCGCGAACCGCCTAGCTCGAATCGGAAACGTTTAGTGGTGCATGTGGCGGCAGCCGCGTTCATTCCCGCGGAGGCGCCATCGGTTCAGCTTGGTTCACGATCCCAGCGCGACCTCGTGCGTAATCGGGGCGCCTGCAGGGCCCGAGTCAGAGCACACCAGCGGGAGCTCCGCGCGAACGCCTGACGTCACGAGGGCGTTGGTTCGTCTCGCGCACGCCAGAACGACTCGCGCCGGGTTTTGTTGTGCAAGTATATACCTAATTGCGGGATCTTGTCAAGTGTGACGTGAAGCGAGTTCATTTCTCCGGGTTCAGTCACCATTTTGTCGTGCAATGAGATTCCTCATCTTTCCATTAACCGAGTACAGAGCTTTTCAACCTCTGGTACGCGCATAACTGCTTGTACGCGAATATATGTAGGGTAGTGCACGAGATTTCCTGGTGGGCTTTCCAAAGAAACGTGAATTGTGCCTAAAAGAAAATGACTTGGGTGGATGGCAGTGAAGATACGATGCATAAATAAGAATGGATGACATTTTCTTTGCGGGAGAAACGCAGAATACCAAAATTAGAACTGGATGTGTTTTCAGCATTCTAATGTTCAGCTGGATATAAATTACGGTTTTTTAAATTCAAGTTAGATACTTGGTACCCAAAAGATTGTATGCAAAATTGCTGTTCCTTAAAAGTGATACAGTATAATGCAGGCACAGTTTGACAAGTCCAGTTCGAAGGTACGATTCCGTTTTTAATCTTACAGTACAGTACAGTACATGTACAGTATTTGAAAATCGGGCCGATATTGAAAAATCTGGTTTTCGAACTGAAGATTTGATCGGTCAGTTTTTAACTAGGGTGAGGTGAACCTCCGGCAAAATCAAATTGAGGCTTTCAAGTGTTGAGTTGAGGAGGCGAAATGTGACTCGTCTGATTAATTGCAAGTGCAAGATATACTGTCCTGTTTTGATATTTTGCTTAGTTCACGGAACAACAAAACACGAATATTGATAAGCCACTCTTCGGAATGACGAGGCAAACCATTCTGATGGTACATGCACCTGATATTCATTCCGTTGTTCTCCGTTCAAATTTAACAGAGCCACTTTTTATACTTTACATCGATATTAGAATAATTATTGGACGATTTGAATTTTAAAAAAAAGTATGTTGTCCCTTGAATTTCAAGGATTTGTGCGAAACTTTTTTAGCGTGTCAAAATCTATAAGTATGGAGAGATATACAGTATCTAATCTATAACTTCAGTTCATAAGTACTGTGCTGCTCTGTGTTATGTAAAAAAGGAGGTTCAAGAATGCTGTTTGTCCCGACTGAATTGTGCTGATGAAACCTGTGACTTCGAGCAGTTTTCTATTCGAATTCAGAGGATTGAAACAAACAAAAATCTTGCAATCTTTTCCCTATCATCGCGCATCATTGATGCCCGCGCACTCCTTCCCATCTTCTCAAAATAATGTGAAAGGTACGTTAATCGCAGTTCAGATTGTATCTGAGAGCTGGAGCTTGCTGCGCAAACCGACGTTGTCTATAAATCATGATGTGTTTTGCTTCGGGGCACATTTGCGACCAATACGTATGCAGGTAATATTTTCTTGAGGTTGACCACAGCGTCGGATAAACGTAGATATAAGTTGCGTCGTATCAAGCAGGAAGAACTGTGTTTAGAGGGCGTTTCATTTTTAAAAATCACGGGAGGAGGTCAAGCATCATTTTACCACGTCGCAGAGGAAGGCACGCTTGAGCTTGACTAGGCCAACCGTCACCGTTGAACTCGTTTCTGGCGAGGATTGTTTGTATGAGGCGATGTAATTCATCGCCGCCTCCGTTTGTCAGCTCGCGGGTTTCAGATTCATTCGCGAGCGCGGTCTGTCACCATAACCGGGATTCTTGGCGTGAAACGCGAGCGTTCTTGGTATGCTGCGCGGGCTGGTCGGAGCTGTTGGAAACATCGTTTCCTGCTGAGGTAGTGTTTCAAACGGCGCCGATCGATCTGTTCCTCCTCGCACCTCGTGTTGCTCCCATTCGTGGCTTGTGATCAGTTGACATCTGAGAACCCGGCCACATCTTAACGGGAACCCTGTCATCCACATTGTTCCTTCTTTGGTTACGCGCATCTTATGCCAAAATAAAAAATGAGGAACCGTTCTGGAAAATATTGTACGGAGGTGCCTTGAACATCTTATATTAGAAGAGCGGTTCGTATCAGTTGCTGCGCTTGTTACGTGAGAGATGTTTTCTCATTCAAAAATGTGGGGGAAATTACAGTGATTCGTTATCATACAGTGTTTCGTTCTCAATCTATGAGAGTTTACCATGCATTCTTTCCTCCCCAAATGCTGACTTGAAAGATAATGCAATCGCAAATGTAAGGCGGTTCGCAGAATTTAAAAAAAATCTACAAAAATCAGATGGATTCTTCGTCTGCAAACGATATTATTTATTTATTATTTTTAGGTCCGCGTATGCGTCTGTTTTTAGTTCTGGAGAAAATGCTTTTCCCGTCCTTCATGCCCAATTGATTATCTTTTATGGTCGAAAGAAATACCGAATACCGTATATGAACATACCGCACAGAAATACTGTATGCACCCTTGACATTTAATTTAACTTTGGGCCTTTATATGTTCTGTAATCTGGATTAGGATATTAAATCGCTTCCCCAATCTTGTCCATTGTTCGGGATGCGATTCGTATTTCCAGTTCTGAATTCCTCCGGACGCGGGTTGTTAGTTTTATGGTGCATTTGTTGCATGAGGCATCATTGAAAAGCGGTTCCTTGATGGAATTGGTCATTGTTGACTTCGAGCTGTATGGCAATCGCGATCAGCCTTGGGCTTGAGAAGTGGTATTGCGGTTTTTGCGGTACACCACTGTTGTCATTGGAAGGCTGAATGATCAAGTGGTGCTTTTCTCTCTCTCTCCCTTTTCTCGGCAATGGCGAGTTTGAAGTTTGAGTGATCGGAAGTCGATGGATTTATTATTCTTGAAGTATGGGCCTTGTGGTCGGCTTTAGAATACTGCATTGTTTTGTCCATCCGGGTGGGGCCCCAATCAACAGCTGCGTTGTGCGCTCAGCGGGAAACTTCATTCCGTGTTGTTGAAGAAGGATCCTTTTCTTTTTTCTTTAAAGGAACTTCGGCTTGCCCTTTAGCCTCATGACCTCCAGTTCAAGCATTTCTATTTCGAAAGATTTCCAGAAAGTAGATGTAGTTTTGCTCACATCCCATCTGGGAGCTCCGAAAGATTCAAGATCTTGCCTTTTGAAACCGATCAATCATTGTTTAGTTGCCGCCAACCCCGTCACTCGTTTGTGTCGACCAATAATCATAATCTTAATTCTCATTTTCGGTGGCCTTTATGAAAAGATCAGCAGGTCAACTGGTCCAATTGCCTGATAAAATTCAAACTTCAAGTGAAAAACTTGGTATTTTCATTTGTCTGCATTTTCAAAAATTGGTCTGCGTAGCACGACGTGAGTCATGACTCTGAAATACTGTACTGTACTGTGCTTTACTTGAACTGGAGGATGATGTACTGCATATAAATTTGTAATGCCTTGAGTCCGTGCAAAAGTTGCCCCGAGAGTTCAAGTACGAATGCATGGCCTGTGCCTGAATGAAAAAGCATGTTTTTGTGAGTTGAACCGCATTAGCAGGAGTCATTATTTGCTCTTAACGCAAGCTATGACACCTCATTTTCGCCTACCAGGCTTCGCTGCGATACGCAGCGAACTATTTACGGGATTTTTTCCGTGGCTGGTTGAATTACTTTTTAGGTGTCGCGAGTTTTTGTGACTGTGAATGATGACGCTGCCTGCTGCTTCGGTGGTTTTTTCAATGGGTTGCCAAGAACCACCGTCTCGTGCCTTATTTTTCATCTCTTGAAGAGTTTTCCTCGGGATTCATAACTCCGCGGATGATTTGTCTGGTACTGGACAAAAACGTAGTCTCGTCGGTGCTTCGAGCATTTTTTTGTTGGCTTTTCACTTCAAAGATTCGTGAAACGATTCAGAAGCAAATGTACGACCTTTCCCTCGACCTTTTTCCTTGGCAAGTCATGATTTTTCCATTCATTCGGAAGAAACTTGAATTAAAATACATCTTTTTTTCTTTACTTCCTCTCTCTTTTTCATGGAAATGGGAACGACGTTCGGTTCGTGGTTGCGAAATCATTTTGAGAATTATAAATGAGACTTCGTAAGCACCTACGTTTATTGAAAGACATAACGGTGAAATAAACTGAAAAGAACGCTGTTTCTCTCAGCTGTTCTCTGAAGAGCTCTTATTCCTGATCCAGGTGAACCAATGTGAAAGACATTAAGGAAAATGTAATGAGATCAAGAAGTACTACTGTGTATGAAGCTCGAACCTGAAATTATTGTAAAGCGCTACCAACATTAATTTGACCTTAGAAGCTCCGCCTCAGAAGTCAGAAACTAATATTCAAGAGGGTTCCGCCGTTGAGGTTAATTTTGAAAGCGGCTTTGCAAGTTATGATACAATTTGAGAACATATTTCCTAGCTTAATCATGAAGGCGTGCGTATGTATGCCAAATTTTGATCGGTATCTTTGATGTTGACAACCTAGAATCCCCGGGGTAACGTGGCTCGAGCTATTGGCTGCACGACGGTTGGAATCAATGTCGTAAGAGGATGACGAGTGTCTAATTTGATGATGCGGGAGGGAACGAGAGTCTGTGACGCAGTATGGTCGATCACTGGCCCATACGGGTCAACCGTGTCGAGGAGTGGGAACAAGGTCGCGGGACCAGCGTAGTGTCAAAGGCGTGCTTGGGCATTGAATGCGGCTCTTGAAACGTAATCCGAGATCCTGCGGAGAGGTCGGCTGCGAAAGTCGCGACGAAGATGAGTGGGACTAAGCGTCGACCGTGACAATGTGACGATCGATCATCTCCGCAATTCCCTCGCGAGTTTCTACGGTTCTGTGCTGGCCCGTGATTTTTTTTTCTCCCGATAATTACGAATCGAACCTGGTGGTGCTGGATTCGTGAAATCGCGACATTGATTTGACCGTTCAATTCACTGAAGTCATTTTCCAATGACGTGGCTTCCCGGGATCGGCTCTAAATTTGCAGATGAAATATTTATTTTCTCATTACCCCTCATTACTTCGAAGTTACTTCGTTTCTTGTGCGAAAAAATTATATGATTGTTGGCCGCGCCTTCTGTTTTTACAACCAACAACAATGAAAAACACAATCAGCCTCAGTCATTCAATTTTGAGAGGAAAATTCTATCCATACATATAGAAATGACGCATTAAATCCTGATAATTTTCGGAATGTTGCTTATACAGTACTGTACATTCAGAAAGATAATCTTGTTGAAAAAATTACCCATAATCTGGAAACTGATTTCAAATGTGAAATGAACTTTTAATCGTAATTTTTTTTTACATCAAATCGGCGCACATAGGAGCATTCATCTCGAGCATATACAGTACTGTAATCGATTTTGAGCCTTTCTTCTTTTTAAGAAACACTCGAGAATTATTTGACAATCGATGATAAACGATACTGAAATGAAGCACAGTAGCAGTAACTGCTTGCTGCCCGCTCATTTTATCAAGCAGCTCCCGATGACCTCTCGGGTCTGATAATGGATAAAATCCATTGTAGGCGCTCTGAGCAGCTTACTGCGAAGATCGTTTCAATGTAAACCGGTCTTACCAGATCTGACTGCGAGACATCGATAAAACCTAGACAATTGAGCTCTCCAATTGCATTAGTGCCCAAAAGAGAACGACGAATCCAGATCGAAACGCACATGCCAACTCTTATAAAAAAAATCCTAAAGGTGCCCAGGTTTAAAAGTTTAGCAGTATTTCAATCACTTCAAAGTGTGGTTCTCGTCTGTTGGCAACTATGGCCTCTGCGCTCCGCCCTAGTAAATTCTATTGAGAACATTCCTCCAAGAAAGTTCACAATGGTACGATATCCGGACGCTTTCCCTCACAGAAATTTCTAGCTGGACGTCCGAGTCTGAACACTTGCTTGATACTGCGTTATCAAGAATTTCTCTTCGAGAAGCCTCGAGTGCACAGTCGGGGAATGGGTCCAATGAGACTCTGGGAATCGAAGGTCGAAGTGATGATCATTGGATCGAGGGATTGCTCCTGCCCTGTCGGCGCCGTCACTAGACATTAGTCACATAATCGGGCTCAACTGCGACGAAACTCGCAGTGTTCTCATTGAATGCGTGGTTGGGTAAAGCATGACCATCCCCATTCATCATTTTCATCAGCCTCTATTCGAGCAGATCTGCGTTTTTGTTGTTTTGTTTTTCGTCGCCGCAGTCTTGGTTGCCTGCCTTCGCGTCGAACAGGCAACTTCTCCGCTGATGGAACGGCTCAGTGTCAAACTGGGCTGGCGCGGAGTTCGGGTCAAGCGTGTCCCTGACATGTCTTTGTTGCAATGGCGCATCTTTCTCTCTGCTTTTCCTTCTGGATCGCCTGTTGGTCAAAGAGAACTTGGAAGTGGTACTGGGTGGTGATGAGAGATCTTTTGAAGTTCGGAGAGAAACTTTTCATGAAATTCGGCCACCTTAACGCGATGAATGCTTCGAGTTGAAATCAACCGTCTTCTGCATGACGCGTTGTCTCTTCGTAAATAAAATTACCCCAAGAGCTGAAATCAAGGTTTGAATATCTCACAGAAAAAGCATCACTGACAGTAATGTATATCGGATCGTACTTCCGTTGGGATGTGTAAAAATAGATTGTGCTCTCTTTTTCCTTGGTTGGAGTAAAAATAACTAAAAACTAGCCTAAAAAACTAACTAACTATAAAATAACTTGGTTCAATTTTTTCGCGGTTGAAAACCAGCTGTTCATTGAGAATTCGCTTTATTTTCACTACTCTTTCAGTGAGTGCATTACTTCATGTGGGCACTGTTCTTCGGTGTTGAATTGACTGGTGCTATTCGAAATTTTTGAACGCATTCCGCTCGTATCTAGTTCGCGCCTGAGCATTTGTTGAATGCGGACCCAAGCTTCCTTCCAAGATTAGATAGATTAATCGTTCCATTCTCGAATACTGTACTGTACTGTGATTCAGTTCGTCGTGAATAGGAGAGTAATCAAAGACAACCTTGTTATTCGCTACTTTTTCTATGGTTATTTCGAGGAACTCGTCAGGTGCGGAATTTTTTGTTATGGGGAAAGGTCTTAAACGGTGTGAATAATTTTTGGATCGATCAGAGTGACTTGTCGAACCCGATTCCGAAGATTGTTGATTTTGTGAACATATATTTTTACACGGAACATTCTCAACGAACTCCGCCAATAGTGTTGATTACAGTGTTCGTGAGCGCCGTCGACTGGGTGGGTTTGTCAAGTAGGAAGCGAACCGTTGGGGGAGAGACTAGATGTCACTCATCGACACGAGTCGCTGTGCGTAATACGACGTACATGTTTCGGTGTCATCATCATACTGTATCTCAAAACCGCAGCAGAAGTGCAAGTGAACATCATAACATAAGCTGATCTAAATTCGTGTACTAGATAATCGTGACGATCCACGTGCTTCAACCCGTTTGGTCGTGTATAGATAAAGCCTGTATATGGAAGTGTTCGGAGAGTAGCACGTTACGGTGACGATGCACTGGCAGTTTCCAGGGAAAATCGGGAACCACTCCTGTTTGATGATAAAACGAGGAGCTTGGTCATGGTCTACGTACTGCCGTGGTACGCTGTCAGTGTCGAGAACTTTGACTCAAATACGCATTTTTAAACTAAGAGAGGGTTATCGCTCAGTGGGATGCTCCTTCTCCTTCTGTGCTGGGATGGAAGTTTGGCTGAAGTGATGACTCTGCTCCCGTGGACTGTGGGATAATGCCAGGTGGCGCATGTCCTTCTTCCGTAAACTTATGCTCGGCAGCGTAGTGCATGCGCCCGCCTAATGTTCATGCATTTGCAGCGTCTCCTTCCCTGTTCTCGTAATGGACTCGTTTAGATGCTTCAACTGAGGATGACTTTTTTTTCGCCTACTTATGGTCAGAATTTCTCTGCGATTGCTTGCGTTAGATTGCTTGATGGATTGCCTCAGAAGTTGGTTCGCGTGAATATAGTGGTTATCGACCGATTTCTCCGAAAATCCCTACGAAGAAATAGGACATTCAGCAAAAGTTTCGTGCTTGGACCTAAATTTGGATTGTATCGAAGGGCGTGTTCACGTTAATTTCGAAAGCAATTTCAGAATTTCAGGACAGGAGGGTCTTATCTATGCTTCTTAGCCTCGATTATCCAGTCTCAAAGTAGCCTTGTCCAAATTTTCAAGTTGACATGGAAAGATAACGTGGCCCATCGTACGGTAATTTTAGATTGTGCTCTACTGTACTGTACTTTTATTCACCGCCGATCGGCCGGATTTTTAAAATTCAAATAAAATGAAGATTGAATAGATACGTACGTACAGCTGAGGAAACATTCAGATGATTCAATAGACACCATAAACATGGAGCATTGTTCATGAATCCCTTGAATACGATAGCTTCCATCAGTTGAGCAGTTTAAATTTTCATTCTACGTTAAAATGGGATGTTTTTTATAATTAAATTAAAACATGGTTGCCTGTTGAAGGTGCTCCCTGGCCTTCACGGACGCTCAGATCATTAAATTTGGGTATGGAGTGATTAATTTGAAGCTGAACGCGAATTTCATCGCGGATTGACCTGACGGAAATAGATGAAAGGTTCATGATGAGGAAACTTTCTGATGATGACTTGCTCATGATTTGAAGGTGCCGTGAGTCATTTCTAACATGAAGCTGCGGAATTCCGGCACCTGTCCGAGCGCATACATACTTGTATTCGTTAATTCCCGAAGCTGACGTGTTGACACATGTTTTGCGTACCGGACATCACTGGTATGCGTTCGAGAAGAAACTTTGTCGCCCGCCAGTAGTTGCGTTCCGGAGTCGGTCTACGCGTCACGCCAGCACGAAAAGCGTGCGATGAAAAATGGGGAACAGCACGCTAACGCTCATGAATCTTTGTGTTCTATTCGCGCAGTTCATTTACAGCGGCGGCGGCTTTGCATGATATTATTCAGTGTCGAACTTTGTGGCTGTCGGGTCGCGTTGTTCGCGCAATGAACCCGCCGCCGGAACCGAACCCTCACGGGGCGGTCTTTCCCGTTGCCCGACCAGGGTCTTCGAAGCATCAGGAAGGCATGGCGCCCGGTGGCGGTGTGACGCTGGCCGTTCCGACGCCGACTTCGTTGATACCGAACCAGACCGTGATCCCGAACACGGGGCTTTTCCTTACCGTTCCCACCCATCATACCCGTCGGCGACACTCGTGGATCTGCAGGTAAGAGATCGCGTTGATGAGCCGCTTCTCCCTTAGCCTCTCTGAGCCCTCGCTCGATTTCCCAGTGAACCTTCTGGCACATCGAGTCTTTCGCAGCAATTTTCTCTGCTGTTGTGGGTGGCAGCAATTATTTCTCCGCGTGTCGATTCCGCTGGTGAGCAGCCGGCCTAAAGCACGGAGTAACCGAAAGATTGTGTCCGAAGACTGACGTGTTACGTTTTGTTCGAAAGGTACAGTATTATACGCCTTATTCTGCGCTGATTGAGGAAAGTGAAAAAACGATGCCAGTATGTTCGTCAAGCAAAATAATGATGGCCATTTAAAATTGTTCATAGGGAAGCGGCATGGCGAAGGGATGTTCTTGGATTTCTTCTCATATTTCAGGAGTTCACTGATTTCTTCCAGGCTCTTGTAATTTTTGCCCAGCACACATTCAGTGGAACCTGCATTTTCAGGACAGAAGATAGGAAGATTTATTGCGGATACGGTGTATGGCAAATCGATGCTCCATAACAACTTCATAGGTTTTCAATGACCGGATGTAGTTTTGATCAACGTTAGAATTCAGTTCAACATTATATATCGACCAAATACAGTATCAGACGTGTTTACATATTCTATTTTGTAAAGTTGAGTTTCCTTCATGTGGCATTTTCAGGTTCATGAATAACCGAGATTCGACTATGTACTTGACAGTTGTATTGTATTCTGTTTTGCTCGTCTGGAAAAGCAAAATTGAATTCATCGGATGCCCTCCTCAGCTAATCCCAGAGGGTGTCCGCAACGTCAACAGATTATCGTAAATTGTAAATATTTAATTTCATGTTGCTTCGAATTCTTTTTATTTCGCAGTAATTTTAAATACAGTAATACTTAATATAACAGAAAAATACGTAGTAGACTGGTTTTTGCTTTGGGCTTGCAATCCGGGCAGCTATCCACGTGATCCGATGAACATTCATTTTGAACCCACACGAACTTGCTCAATACGTAGCGTCCGTGAATGAGCCCTTGATTCATTCTGTTGAAAGTACACATAATGAAGGGGTCGAGTTCTGCTCATTACTTACTTCCACGCGTTCTGTGAAACATTCTGTATTTCTCTTGAATGCTCTTTTTTGAAAAGTGTGACGCCCACGCTAGATGCGCTTTTCCGTAGAATAATGGCTGCGACGCTTATGGAAGTCCAAGTTAGCGAAACAAAGCAATCCCTCGGAGCAAATATGCTCGCTTTTTGACTCGTGCTCTCCATGTCAAATTGTCGGTGATGACGCACGTCACCAGAGCACGACGTGAACTTCAGAGATATAATGAGAAAAGCTTAATAAAAAGAATGCCTTTTCGTGTTCCAAGAAAAAAATAAAATGAATTCACCGAAGACTGCGATCGATTTCCCTCTTCAGAATATCTCCGGGCGCATCCGAGAAATCCTATACGGGACTTCCAGCTCTTGGGATAACCCTCCCAGATCACATTAGACATGAGGTGCTGATTTATACCGTTTATTGGTTTCTGGGGGATATCTCCCAGCTGAGTTATTCTTAGGCGGTTTAATTTTTGCTCGTAGTTTCCCATGCAGTATTCTGATATGAATACGACAAAGACGTTTATTTTTTCTGGTCGTGGAAGGAGTCAAGGAATCCTGGAATGATGCAGGGATACCGTTGGCAATGGTTGGGGAGTTCTTGCCCGTCGTATTCTTTGAGTCACCCTAACGACTCGCTCGCATGCACGTTGAGTTGATGGACTGGAAACTTCAATGGACGCATGTTAGAATATTCACATGATAGCCGGGAGATATTGTTCTCTCTGAAGGTCGGGCGATTGCTTTCTTGCGCGAAAATGTCCCTTGAGATAGACAGTCTTTCCGAAAAAGTTCTCACATACCTAACTTTTTCCGCGTCTTTTTCAATGATATTTCTAAAAGTCTCATTTTCGTCAAAACATTAAAATACAATGCTCATGTGAATCGTAAGATACTGTACTGTATTTCCCCGATGAAAACGACGAAAAAGATGAGGGTCTAGCTGTACTTTTGACAATTTAAAAGTGATGATCTATTCATGAAAGGTTAAATCTTTCGATGACTATGTTGGTCATGCATTCATGCGTTTATGTGTACTGTACCTGCATCAAACTTCGATCTTGAGAAGGCAAGGGATTTATCGTTCACTCATCCTCACCAAGAACTAGTTCCGAATTGCAATACAGCACAGTATTTTAGAGGTAAGAAGCCGAGGACTCTTCTACAGTATTTAAAAGATCCTCCCCACTAGGAAAACTACAGTACTATTTTTCAACATCGCTAAGAATCCGCACTCCTTCTCTAGATATCTTTCTCGCCTCTGATTCCAAGGATTCCGAGCCAAACAAATACAGTATTTTCTCAGACGAGCTTTTTCTCTAGCACTGCGCGATGATGCTGTGGTATGCCACGCTTCCATTGCTCACATTCGACTTTCATCATTGTTCCCGAACTTTCTGATGAACTCCTATCTCACTTGGCCCAGATATACGGAGAACCGACCATATCCTGCGAACTTCAGCAGCAATTGTCCATCTTGAAGTTCAGTGCAATAGTTTTGATACCCACGTCCAGCATTGTCGAGGCAGGCATCAGGATGTACGGCTGGTTCTGAACCCTTCATCTTTGTTTTCTAACTCTCCGTTTCATAGTTAGGATTGCACGATAGTTAATTTGAAAATCTTCATCCAATTTATATTATTTTAATGTTTATTTGAAAATTACGTTGCGGTTGCATTAACTGTATGGACGGCTTGGAACAAGTTTTGTACTGAACCCTAAAAAAAATAAAATAAAAGTTTATTGTCGTTTTGAGTAAAAGTGCATTGACAAGCTGTGATTATTCGAAATGATGTACAATACAGTATTATTTTTAAATTTGGACCAGATTGGATCTGAAAAAGTTGTATGCCTTTCCGCACAAGATTCTAATTGAAAATTGAACAATTTTAAAAGAATGTTCACGCGTTTAAATAGGCCTAAGTCACTTGAAATTGAAAGGGATCGACTCTTGGTGAATCATTACACAAAATGAATAACTCCAGTGTAGATCGGATGAAAAAAATTTCTACCTCTACTGTACAATATATTCTGAGAAAGTTCTAAATATGTTGCACGCTTTTGCAATCCACGTCAGTTTGATTACGATTCTTCGGGCCGGGGAACGCAATCGCCGTTTTTATTTTCTTCGGGGAACACTGTGGATCCCAGTAATTCGTTTTTGTGCGGGTGCCTTTCCAATCTAGGAAAAACATTGTTTTCCTTCAAATGGTTGCCATGATTCCTGTCGCTTTGTTTTCGTCGGCTGGCAGTAGTCACACAAAAAAAAGTCCTTATTATGCGAGCGAAGAGAGGCGATGTTCAATGTGAACAGAGCCGTGCTTCAGTGCAGTGCAGTTTAATTTCCGACTTCCCTTTCTTTTTCTCCGATCGTCGTGATGTGTTGGCTTGATGCGGGAACATTTTTTGCTTTGAGGGAGAGCTCCTCGAGTCCGCAACTGATCGAGCTCCGAGGTTCTTGGCAGACAATGCATGCCAGCGAGCGTGGGTTGCATCGGATGGAAAATCAAATTTGCCCGTCATTTCGCAGCTGATTCTCGGAAGGTGGCACGATGGCCGAAGTCTTACGGCTCGTCAGCCTTGATCGAATTTTTTAAGGTGCATTATTAGCTTTCTCTTTTGACCGCGGCCGGAGGGAGATTGGAACTTCATTGCCAGCTCGTCAACTTATTCCGCGTGCATGTACAGTTTACGCTCGACATGTTACTTCTTTCAACAGCATGAACATGACCCGCAGTGGCGCTGCGAAAAGTTTTTTCTAAGGTCGTGTGTGGGCTGGAATGTGACCCTGGTTCTTTCCGATGAGGGGTAGTTGCTTTGAGCAAGCGTGGAATAACGTCGACACGACTTCCGCTCTATCCTTTGAATGGACGATGCCTGTTCTTGCCTCGTAGTCGGGTCACAGGGTGGCCGGACCCGAAGAAGTAATCTGCCTCTGCGGATTTGTCCGGATCAGTGGGGTACAACAGTAGCCACGGCAGTCGTGGGGGGACGTCAACTTGGGGTCGTTGCATGTTTCATGAATAACAGCCCCCTTGCTGAGCGGTGTCGCGGTGGAATCCCCCTGTGTTTTGCCGGTACGTTACGCGTGCAATTAGGAGTCGTTGCGAGGAGAGACGGTCGGGCCAGCGTTTTTCTCTGCGAGTCCGAAAGTATTTCCACGTTTGGCAACCGCAGGAATGGCGCAACAAGCCCGTTCCATGGAGCCCCGGCGCCACGAATGTAAGGCCGACGCAAAAGCAGCAGCGTGATTAATGAAGTCGAGCCGTATTGAAGGACAATGTTCATGACAAACGACACGCCATGGCGGGCGAATCTTGCGACGTCAGGGTACAGTCCACTGAAGACGCACGTTCGTCGGAATAAGAGGAAGCAATTATGCGTCGAGGGCCTGAGACAGCTATATAGGCGATGTCACCTGCTGTCCACTGTAAGTAAGGCGGACATTCCGGTTCTAGTGGTTTGCGTCTGTGTTTAATTTGGGGAATGCACTCTCGACACCGTGGAGCTAAAAGCTGTTCGAGGGGAAACGGAAGGAAACACGAGCGTCGTTCGTCCTCGTTATGCCCTTTCCCTGAATGTCAAAAGGCGCTGAAGCCGTAACCCGGGAGGTTTAGCGTGATGCCTACATTTTCCCTGGATCAAGAAGCGCGTTCCATCAGACACAGCTGGGATCGTCATTCGGCTACGAACGCATGAAACACAGGGCCCATCGCATGGGCATCGGGTATGCCGGGTTCACTCGTGCCTTTAGCCCGGTTTCGTGCTCATAGTTCAGTCCCCCTGAGAGCCGGAAGAAGATTGACCGACTTCCACGACTGGATGAGCGAGGCCGATTCCGCACAGACATGACGCAGTCGTTATGACTTCCTGATCCGTCTTTCTAGCTCCGGTAATACCCAGTGCTGAAGATTTCTCATTATTTCAACGTCCTTGACTGTGATCCCACCTGTGGAGCGGAACGCGGTTTGGTTCGTGACAGCTCTGTGTTCAATTTCTCTCTTCTCGAGTCATGCCACGCTTGAGCTTGTCTGTCGTTTCCCCTGAGCCTTGCGCTTTGTTCTGATGCGGGTTCTGACTGCTGCCCTTTTTCTGCACCCGACGGAAAGAAGTGAAAACCCTGGCGAGCTGCTAATGATGGTTCGAAGTGTGCATCCGAACAAGCAGTAAAGGAGGACGAGGTCGTTCTTGGTCGGCGCTCGGAGAACTCGTTCTGGGTTTTCAATTAGGCGCCCCTGATGACACAGAATGCTCTGACGAGCTGTGACTCAGGAATTACTGAAGTATATTATCGTTAATCATAAATACATGGTAAAATTCATGGATTTCTTGTTTGGAGAACGTCATCTCGATCAAATGTAAAATTGTGAGTTCGGAGTCATTCAGAAGTACATGAAGTGGTTTCGTGATTTTAAGCTGTGAATCTTACAGAAAAAATTCTTTATCGTCGCAAAATTGATAAAAGTCTAACCTCAACTTAGATTTTTATATTCTACCATCTAAACTTGGATCAGTAAACCAACAAAAGAAAGTGCAAGCGCCCGCTTATGAGTCACTGCGGCTACGTAAGAAAAATACGACCGCGAACTTCTGTCTTATCCCTCGTACACTTATTTATTTTTTTCGTACTTCAAGCGTATTGTGGTCTGTAAGGATGAATGAACTAAGGATACGCGAAAAACATGTGCTTCAATTAACGAGAGATCTTCACTCCTCTGTGCAATTCCATAGGGAGCTTGTTTGCCGGATCAGAGGAATATCATGTTTTTCCATCCCTGTTTGGGTGTTAGATGAATTGATGAATAAAAAAATGGTCAGCGAGTATGTAAGTCCCAATCTTGTGGGTAGTGATGTAGAAAAAAACGAGCTCCTGATTGAAAAGAATCACTGTGCAATATTTTGATGTCGTTAACCTATTCGATGACACAAGCAGATTTTCAAAAGTCCTCGTAGGTTTTATCGTATTTTTAATAAATGGCTATTGCAGAAATGACGAAAGGATTGTAGGACAAACACTGCTGTTGATGTGGAGGTATCCAGATTATTTTAACAATGCTTGTTTCTTTCGGAAGAAATCGCTTCGAATTCCAAAACTCCACGATTTCATCCGTCTTAGTACCGAGCAATATTTTATTATATGCAGTATACAGTTCATGCTTGCCGAATTATTCTCGTTCTTAGCGGATTAAATTGTTTCAGTAATGTAATATGCAGCGGAAATCCCTCCGAGTTCGGAATAAATTGAAAAGTTCGAGGTGTGCTAACGCAAGTTAAATTTGATTCGGGAAGGAACCTTTGGTTTCATCAGCGGCATTCTTCGTTGTAATAAGCATAGCATCGGAATGTTCCCAACAGTACTGAAGAGCTATTGTTTGCTTTTTGTGTGCCAAGTGTTTCGGTCGGTTGCTGAGGTACTGTAATAGGGAGGAAATGACGCACTAGGTGCGGCGTTTCGGCAAATCATCTTCTTGTTGGATGAATGCTACTTGGGCTCTGCGGGAAGAGGAAGTAAGCGCGAAGACCGTCGGATGTTGTTACAGGCGTTTTGAAGGACGAGATTTGTCCGTCGGGGTTTCCCTGCGCCACAGGATCTCCGGGCACGCCGCAGACGCCTTGGCTCTGCCAGCACCCTCCTCGTCACCGCCGCGAATTCATAGTGATCTGCTGGCTCCTGCGACAGTCTTCCTCGCGTCAGTCAGAGCAGTGAACGCTGTACCTTGATCTCGAGAGGCGGTGTCTTGAATGCGACTGGTTTCCACGGGCTCAGTTCCTTATTCGCTGCTCGTCAGCGTCAGGTGCAAGCAAGGTCGGCTTCGCAACTTGACTTTCCACTCGTGTCCTGAAAAACTCAGTGAACGTGGTTTGTGAATAAGGGGAGAGGAGACGAACTATGTCATCGGGGGAAAACCGTGAATTTTCGTGTTCGATGAAACGTTCAAGCTTCTTGAAAACCCGCGAAATGAAACTGAGCTTTTCGCGGTCGGGATCGTCGACATTGAGCGACGGACGTCCGAGCATGTCCTTGCTGTCGCCGTTGTCTCCAAGACCTCGGTCTCCTCCTGGCGACGCGTTCGCGTCGTGTGCCACGCCGTCGTCCTGCGGCCCGACGTTGTCAGTGTCGCAGCATCATCATTTGAGCAAATCCCTGAGCTGCACATCCAGCACCTCGCTGACTACACCTGGATCAAGTGCTGAAAAGCAACATCACGTATCCTACGCATCTCGGTCGCAAAGCTCCGTCGAGCAACTCACGTCAACTTCTTTCACGACGCTTCCTCGTTTGCTTTTGCCACCACCGCAGGAATACACCAGGTAATATGAAACAGCAGAACCCTGGATAATAAGATTTCTCGGAGAATAGTATCTACAGTCGAAAGCCGGATACTTCTAAAACCAGAGCACAAATTCTAACTTCGAGCGGAAAAATCAGGGCCGTAGAAAAGTTTGCGGGGTAAACTTGAGCGCGTATTTATTCGGAAGGAACAAAAGATGGTTGGTTGGTCGACTGAATTGTTTAATGTATTGTGGGCTCGTGGCTACGAGGTAGGCTTATTCCATAACTAGCGTGATACCGCGTTGATGAAGAATTTTCTTTTCTCGTGGCATTCCCTTCATCCGGAATAAATCATCTCGTTTCCGTCCCGGAAAAGATTCGGAACACAGGCGACATTGCAACGGCTTAGTGGGACTGAGTGCTGTCGAAATAGGGTTTTCATCCGCTCTTCCGAGGGTCGGTGGTATGAAAGAGCGTACTAATATACAGTCTCATCAGAAGACTGATAAAAAGAAGAGAAAAAAAGAGAACTCATCTGATCAGAAATAAGGTGTACGTCCCCAAGATAAATTCAGGAAATACATTCCTGATATCAGAAATGTTCTGCGGATGTACGCCAAAAAGTGACGGTACGAATGTCTCCCATATGGAAAGGTATTTTATCTGCATTCCCACCGAGTGATGGGTTTCGCCTCGTCATAATTTGCGGGCCCCTGTCACTTTGAATCCCGTGTCTTGACCTACTTCGCATAAGAGGATGAAAAGGCAGCCCAGTCAAATCAGTCTCGTTTTATCTCGGGGCGCTATAATGGACAGCTTTCACGTCTCTGCTGATTCGCTTTGATCTACAAAGCGGAGTCTACCCCAAAGACTGTTCGGAATGCGTTTCCTGTAATAGTGCCACGTCCTTTGTCTAAAGAGGTTCTTCACGTTCGCATTCAAGACTGAATGAGTTCTTTTGTTCTGAACAAAAAAGAAGCCCCGCGATCCATCTCGTGATGAGACTTCTCCGAATTTATTCGCAATGATTACCATTTTTAAAAGTTACCTTACGTTTGTGTTGCTTGCCATTCTGCTTTCTTCCAACTAAAAGGTGACCGGTAGATACTTTTTTTTTAGCAGTATACAGTACTGTAATTTCTGAGTTAATTGCGAAGAAACCAGATTTATCACATTAAACTGAATTGAATTGATCGAGCATTTGATGTTCACGTGAGCGATATGAATGTTTTGCGGGCGTTAATGGTTGTTTCAGTTATTTGTTCTTTTTACCCTCTTAACGGAACTAGCGTATCTAGCGATTCCGTGAATGCCGTCTTATGGCTTCCAAAATGAAGCATGTCCGAATGAAATAAACTGCGGTGAACGACTTTGACGTGGAATTGCAGAAGCCTTGTGATTTCATGGGTTTGGGAGGTAAAGTTGTATCCCCTCCCTCAAACTCTTTTTTTTAACGTACGAATTCGCTTGAATGAGTTTTAATTTCATTTTCGAGTTTTGCGTCAAGCTTCTAATGTGTCTTGCTTCCTCGCTGATTTCTATTTTATTTGTTTATATGTAACATCCTTTCAAAACCATGTACAGTACTGGTCTCCACGAAATACTCATGAACTTTAAAAATGTGGATTCACGGAAACTTTGGCGAATCCTTGCGAATATTTTATTGAAAAATCCTGCCGTTTCTCTTGCGAAAAACCATTTTATGATCAAAGCACCGTGTTCGGAACGAAATTCCACTTTCACTCATGCGTCGCGATGCCCATGCGACAACGCAGTAGTATACATTATTGCATTCGTTGCTCGGCTGTTGTGATTTTATTGGCTGAACGACAGTATTGCACATATTCCTAGACATTAATTAAATTTGCCAGAGCCTTCCCGAGAGTCGCCTACATGGTATGAAATCGTTGGAATATCTCAATCAATTTAAACAAGTGTTTCCAGCACTCAGAAAATTCCTGGATTTTGGAAGGAACGGTTTGGGACAATCCGCGTTTTACCAAGTGCGAAATATTGTCTCTCTGAATTTTTACCCTTTATTTTATTATGGAAGAAATAGCGACCGCAACGAAATGGCTGCAAGTATAACGGAGAAAATGAACTGGAGCCCCTGCTACCTTGCTTCTCCAGAATCTAAACCCTTAAAATTAAAGAAGTCCTTCAGCATTCGTTTGAGCGTGCCGACGTAGATGACATGTTCGGGAAAAACTTCCAAGGAACGAGTGAAGAAGCTTGTGGGTTATGTCCTGATAGATTTTCTATCATTATTGAACGTTTTTTCTTAACAGCTGCCGCACGCCCGCTGCGCAGAATTTCATCGTAGCACTTATTTTTTGCGAGAATTTTCTCGGCGCGTTTCGAAGGAATTCCTTGTTTTCTTCAACCAAGCTGAGTGCTTCACGCCTTGACCGACACCTTGGAAGCTGTTGGCGCCGGGATAGGGCTGAACTCGGTGGGAAAATAAATCCAGATCAACATCATAGCGCTGAAGGACATTCTGCCAAGTGTTTTGTTTGCACTCCCGGAAGGCTATACGTCATCCCGTGTTCCCTTAGCTCTCCCATGGAGCAAAATCCGGCTTGATTTAGCGCACACATTCTTGGCCGTCGTGCAATATGACGCCGTTTTAAAATGGTTGAGCGGGCGGTGCTTTGTTGGTCTTGGAAACGAGATGAAATTCCGATCTATACGAAATGATCCGACGCTCTTCGCTGACTCGAAGGGACCAGATTGAGTTCTCCGAGGTGCACGTTCCGCTCGTCTTTTCTTGGCGGCTTTATCGCGAGTTATGTACGTCATTCAGCAGCTGCCAGAAAAACAATCGAAATCAAGTGAGGGTCTTGGGAGGATTCGTCACCCGGGAGGCACCGCCGTTTTACTTTGATTACGAGCTCTCATCAAAGTAACCGTCGCCATTTTGTAGGGCGTAATGGAACCTCAATAGCGACTTCACCATGTGCATAAAATCTTACGTTAAATCCACGGCGGTAAAACCGCGTCGGTTGAATCGCGATGCCTTGTTCAACATTTTCGTGGACGCGTTTTAGGAATGACGCAGTATATAGCTTAATGTAATGCCTTGCCCCGCAAGACCATAGAAATCGCTCGTCGAAACGAGTGCTCTTCTGGCCACCTGAGCCCGAGCCGTTGAGCCTGTAATTCTGCGTCGCTTCGGACTTCCTTCTCATCCGCACCCGCCGCATTTTCCCTCGTCTACAAGGGAACAAAAATTCGAGCCAAGAGGTGACGACTCCACGGAGTTGTGGGATTCACGCCGTTTATTCCATTATTCTCTGCCTGTGCCTCTCGGGGATCGATCGATCTTGCAAATAACGCGTTCGTGATGGAGCTGAGCGTCCATGTTTTCGGGCGAGAGTCCCGCATTTCGTGAAAGAATGCGACGCGCTTCCCGGAAATATTTTACTCCGCGGTGAATCCGAAATGTCTTTCAGGAGATTCCGCGACGACTCGCTGGATCAACTTGTAGCAGCAGGCGATGTGATGTTAGAAATCGTTTCTTCATGCATTATGGATGACATGCAAAGTTGTGAAGTACTGTTCCTACGATCCGATGACGTTGACTTTCGGACATTTCCGCAGCAAACCTTACAATTGCTGCGTGGTTTGGCACTCGTCTGCGATCCAGGAATAGAAGCTGCGTCTTTTAAACCGAGCTTCACGTAAAACGACACTCGTCTGAAGTAGTTCCGAGTAATATACAGAAACTGTTTTTTTTTCGAAGTTCTGCATTTCTGAAATCCTGACGAATGAGTCGCTGCTGAATGTATGTTGTTGTACCTATGAGAACTCCATAACGTCTCGACAAGAATTTCCAGATATTGCCTCATTCTGATTCACTGGAACCGGGCACTTTCCGCCAAGAGTCTGGCCTGGCATAAGGAACACTACTTAATTCATCGGAAGTGCGAATTTCTGGTCACTCTGGGGGAAAGAGACAGTAGTTACAGTATTGAGTTTTGTGTGTGAAGTGAGCCAGTAGGGAGTTTAGTTCTTATTTTTCTTTGCAATTCCCCATAATTCTGAGTATAGGACGTCCGGGTAAGACTATGGTGCGTCCATAGTAAACTACTGTACAGTATCTGCGTCGCATTTTCCTCGACCAAGATTTTCGTGATTTTTCTTATTTTTACAAGTAAATCCGTAATTGAGTAAGTGCGGCAAGTGGTGTCATTCATAGCTGATGATTTGGCGGAATTGAGAATTATGCTTTCGTCAGTGTTCTTGACACTTTCGTCTGAAAATGACCCGAGAATAGGAAGAACTTTTGGACCTGCCTTTATTTGAGTAGTGACAGGATTCATCTCCGATCGCGCCTCAAGACCTTTCCTCGCCCCCCTTCGATGCGAAAATGGTTCCCGCGCCCTTCTTTTACGACTTTTTCTCCGACACCCGGAGATCAAACCTGGCTCATATGATCTTTGCATCGCGGGGGAGCCACTCAGCCGCTTATGGTCGTGTCGCATATGGTAGTACAATCTATCCAGCCCAAAATGATATCTAGCGGGATAAGTATTACTGACATAATTTATCCGAGGGCTCTATAGGGGGAAAAATAAATTTGAAGCATATGCAGCTGGAGAATTATGAGTGCAATCGAATGTCCAGCACCAAAGGTCTTCCAAAATTTTCGGATCAGCATCGACGGTCATTCAAATGCGGCATTACATTGTCATCTTTAAATTCCGCCAAGTTTTGCTGAAATCAGTCTGTTCGTTACACCATGATGGTCACTCGAATGTACATGAGATGATCGATAAAATATATTTACTGTACATGAATGACAGGGACAGTGTTTGCGTATCAACTCTCATATACTATAATGAATTTTTAAATCTTCAGGCTGACGAATAAGTTCAGCAAAAGATTTGGTTTGAAGGAGGAAAAACATAAAAATGACGTCGGAGGGCTTCCCACTTGGATTCTAATAGCCAAATGAGTGTTTCATTTGAAGTCAAGTGTTTTTATACGAATTGAGATGGCTTTCTACAAAGGATAGCCAAATTCAGAATTACTGGATCAGCATGGTAAGATTTTGCAGACTTATGAGTGTCCCGACACTTGTTCCCCTCTCAAAAAAAAGAAGATTCTGTTTGACAGTTTGGGTAAGAGGTGCGGATGGTTGAATTGTTCGACTCGGTACTATCGGAATGTTTACTCGTCAAAGTGAAGGAATCGATTTCCTCTTTCAAACCATTTTCTTGATTATTTTGCGTGGAATGTGACTTTAGAATTGCTGAAATGTTGACCCGATACCTTCAGGGTAATTAGAATGAAGAATAGATATGTATGATGCTAAGTTTATTTATTTTTATTTAGACTTAGTATGGCACGAATAATTATACGGAAGGTGGAAATGCCCAATTTCAGTAATATGTGTCATTTGACTTTTTTCATCTTTGAAAAGCTTTATAATTTATTGATCATCAATTGAAATCGGCCTATACTTGAAAATGATGCAAAGCAGAAAACGGTTTAAAAGCCATTCTCTAGACTTCTAGAGAGTGACCCAATATTTTTCGACCGGTTATTGCACATTATTGATATAACTACAACATATAAAAACTGAATTGAAATTCAAAAAAATCAAATCAATTTATTATTATTCTTTCCACGGCTATTTAATAAGAATGATAGCTTCGGGGGAAATTGCCTAGGTATGCAGAAATTTGAATTCATCCTGCAATGTATTGAAAACCGGTAAAGCTGGAAAACTGAATTTCTCGAATAAAATGCAGCATCGAAAGCTTTCAGATGGTGTACATTCGTTGACTTTCATATTGATCGTTACGGTTGAGTATTAAGGCCGTATAAAATGCAAGCGATCGGAAACTTCTGGGTTCTTCTTTGTGAACTGGATATAAAACCTGTTTGACCGAATAAGTGGCGAAGATCTTCGCGGTTTGGATATTGAATACCGGCAATTGGCACATTTCTTCGATGTAAATTTCAGTTTATTCAAAATTAAGTCATTAGATCCTGATTTTAACTTTCGGGCCATTTCAGAAAGTGCGTCTCGTTATTTAATTATCTTTCTCTTCGTTCGTGCGGAACATCGCTTTCATAACTCTAATTCTTCATTATTCCTTACGCTTGAATCAGTTGGGGCATTTTATGTAAATTTAATTTTCTTTGGTTTGATACTGGTATGTAGCACCGGTATATTTCTGGGAAAAGTATTTTTGGGATCCGTGAAATAATTTAGGATACGCTTGTTACCGAGCACTATATTTCTCCATTTAGCGGTTATTGAAATACTGTAAGATGCAGTATCCGCATGCACGGCATCGCGCGCATACCTCCAATAAACGAAGGAATATTTGCCGCATCGCGAAGCTGCTGAAACGAAAAAAAAAGAGTCCTGGATGTTATTTCTATTTGGGTTTAAAGCGCAGTAAATTGTACTTGCTTATTCCTCGAGTAGTTTAGTAGGCAGCAAATCTTTTGGCGCTATGGTAAGATGTGTGCATTCAGCTATCGCATCCAAGGTGCATCTCTTGTTTTTTATTTTTCCGTGTTCATACTGCATACAGAGATGGACTAGCATACTTTACGCGCAGGATGAAAGTCAACTTCAGCAGAGATCATGGCTTTTTTATCAATAGAGGAAAGCGAGCGCTTCTCATTTTGCTATTTGACAGGGAACTGGGCGTTTTTTCTTAAATAATTGGGAAGAGTAAATGTTTTGTGCAGACTCGGCCTCGTTTTCCGTGCGTAGGGATTCTTGTGCGCCTCAATGCAAACGCGTAGTAGAATACTAAAGCTGTCGAAGACAGCAACGAGCAGAAGTCTGTTGAATTCAGCACCGGAGGCTACAGCTAGAAAGGATTTCTGTCTCTGGTTCCTTGGGATAGCAGGTACTTCGATAAGGAACCATATGTTGGGTTGTTGGATTTACTGCTTCCCCTGCGGTGTCACCTGCATATGTATCATGATTACAAAGGCCTCTTCCGCGTAAGCTGATTCTCAACTGCCCGTCTGAGGCATACGAGTGTGTAACAACCGTGTCACGGGGATAGCAGAATGTGGGTTCGGGATTGCCCTGCTCTGCTCGGGAGGCAACGGCACGCAACTCCGTTGCCCCCTCGCTGTCACCACCTGGGAGCAGGAATTTCATTGCGCTCGCAACCCTGCGGAAGCTGCCGGATACCTGACGGAATCCCATCTGCCTCTCTTTCTGAAGAGCTTTTCCTTCCCCGTCGCGCTCATTGCCTCGATCCTATTAGAAGATTGAGCATTCCTGCCTTCCTTTTTCGTCGAATGCATATTTAATTCGTGGATCAAGAGGTTACCATTTGCCATGCTTTGGTGGATTAATATAATTTCCAGGTTAATTATTGTGCATTATTTTAAGGCAAATCAGCTAAGAGGTGGTTCCGTCTGTAGAAGGGGTGTCGGATCTGCACGCAGTTCAATACATTTTAAGAATTACAGTGCTGCATTCGACATGATCACCACCGACTCGAACACATTCCTTAGCTCACTATGGATCTATAAGCTTAATCATTTGAAAAATTCCGATTTAGTTTTTTCCTTTTCCGAAATTGAAATCGCCACGTCTGAGCCTTCTTTATCACGAGGAAAAAATTGATGATGCATGGATATTACTGGAGAATACTTGTGTGAATACTTGAATAGTGTATTTGGATATGCTTAGAACTTGCAGAGTGCATTATTGTAAAATATCAAGTCTGGATTAATGCATAAAGTATGGATTAATGGATAAAAGGTTTGAAAAAAAGGGGGAATTTCAGGTGGAAAATGCTTTTAATTCCATATCCTCGGTAGCAAAATCGTTAAAAACAATTACAGAAGATAGAAATGAAGGAATCATTCCGAAAGGTTTCTGAAATTATTTGATCATCAAATTCAATGTACTTTTTCCGAATCATTGCGCAAATAAGTAAAAAGTTTGAACACCCGAAAAAATTTATAAAATACCCTACGATCAGACTAATCTCAACATGTTTACCGTCTCCACTTATGTGAAAGTAACTTTATATAGGTATAATTTTCGAGGAAGGTGTGTTTTAGTCTCCTAGCTGATCCGAGATTTTCTCGGGACGACCTGCAAGAAAATGTGTACCAAAATTCCTTTGAAGCCGCCGTGCATGATTATTTCGATCACATAAAGCGACTGAAAGCAGTAGAGACTTTCCGACGAGGAATTTTTGTTCAATGGTTCGTTTGACGAAAGGGTTTCGAGGAAGGCTGCTGGAAAGAACGCATATAGTCTTTTTTTATCTGTGCGAAGAAAAGTTTTCTCCCGACGATTGCGGGAATACTCCTTATTCGGGAAACGTGCCTTAGATCCCGGATTCGTTGCCTTTCTCCACGGAAAGGCCTAAAATGCACTCGTTTGCTTGCGCTGGAATCGTTCCCCAGCAAGTCTTGATTGATTCATTTTGTGAGCGAGGGTTTTGAAAGCTCGATGCATTGTGTTTTCCCCTTTGTGAAACGCTCGCCTTGTGAGTGGAGGCAGCGGTGTGCAGTTTATTTGATAGTGCAGTAGTCTGGTCGACAGGTGATCTCCATCAGCATCGCACAATAATCAGGGGAATTGCGTCGACACTGCCGTTACACGGCTGAGCTTTTCGAAAATTTTCTTCCTTGTTTATATCGGTATTTTGGCATCCGGACCCATCGAATTTGTGAGGAAGCTGTAC